TTACCATGGCTGCTCTTGATTGCATGGCGCTTGCTGGTTCTGGGTTCTTAATTGGTGGTTCTTGCGTCTGATCCTGCTGCTTCATGTCATGTTCCATCACATCACATTAAATTTCTAATGGAACAGACACTTCTACCTTTTATTTCACTATCAGTCGACCTGCATATACCCCTGCGGCCTGCTCGCCCTTTTATTTCCACTCTAGAATCTACCAATTATTGAAAAAGCCTCGGATAAAAAAGCAAGAAAAGTATGTCACGTTTAGTAATTGAGACGGTCCTAGAAGACATGAAAAAAATCAAAAAGCCTGTCCATCTCACTTCCCTCACTTCATAACAAAAACCAGGCAGCAAAACATGCGAAAGAGTCCTTAGCAGCGCCCTAGCAACGCATTTGTCTGAAGTGCGCAATATGTGTCACATCTGGAAAATTTAGTAGCTGCTTGATTATTCAACTAGAGTTGGATTATATCAGCTAGGCTTTTATATAGAAAATAAGTGTTTGCTTATCGAATTTATAGCAACTGGTTGCTTAACTTCGAAATAATGATTTATTAGAGAAAAAGGTTGTTTGCAACATATTTGTGAAGAAACAACGGAAATAACTTTGACTCGTGCGCTATTCTAGTACATTTTTGGTAGAAAACTTCATCCAACCTTATGTTTTAGGGCCTTGGTCTGGGATACTCTACAAAGCATTTGACACTGAAAATCCAGCTGAAAAGGCAGGTGCACTGTAAACTAAATCTACAAGTTGGCTCCTTGTTACAAGTTTGGTTCCAGTTCGCATAGGCGTCACCTTGTCGATACCTTGTCGATTCACCAACCCCAGGCTTGTTGGCCACCAAACTAACAGTTTGTCTACAAGTTTGGTTCCAATTCGCATAGGCGTCACCTTGTCGATACCTTGTCGATTCACCAACCCCAGGCTTGTTGGCCAACAAACTAACAGTTTGTCTACAAGTTTGGTTCCAATTCGCATGGCGTCACCTTGTTGAGTACTAGTCTGGGCCTTGTGAACCTACCAACTTCTGGATAGGCATAGTCGTTTCCTTGTCGGTTCACCAATCCCTGGTTTGTTGATGAACTAGCCTAGCCTTTGACTGGGCATTGCTAGCTTACAAATTGTCAACAAGTAAGTGTACTAACACTCTGTTCGAACTTGCTCTTCCTTACAATCGCTTTGTTTGCCTTGATACTTGATAACCTTAAAGGAAGACTGCCACCTTCAAAAAGTTTTCTCAGATCGGCCTATGATTTATTCCCTGGACAAAACAAAATTTTAGAATTCACCTGACAAAGTATCATCACGTGAATCGCGAAAAAAAAATTGTCGATTATCATACAATTATCAATCGGTTAATGTCTAGCGACAATGTTTACACATCACTAGACTTCAAGGTCATAAGATTATTACATTTTATTTGAAAAAGTAAGGTATGTTATGATTTACTAATATATGATTTCATAAGAAATTGGCCATGTTTAATTTATTTTGCATTTAAGTTCGTAAAACATTTAAAAATCATGGCTCATTTGGAATGGGTCTGGCCCATGTTAAACCCCATTTCCCACACTTTTTTGGAAAAAATGAACTACTGAATATATAAGTTTAACTTTTATTTTGACTCTCCAAAATTCTTCTCTGATCTCGAAACAATCAAAGTTTTGACATATATTTACCAAAAGATAAGAAAATTCATGTTTCAAAGTTATCGATAAACAGTAGAGATGTCGGTTTTCTTGGACTAAAAAAATGGCATCAAACTGAACTTTGGTCTCCGATTTCTCGCAAACGGGTTCGAATTTCGGAAAACCGACTTCAGTCTGGGACATAGGTGGCTCAGCTCTAGTGAAAACCGTTTTGTGGAAAAAAGGTGGCAGTCTACCTTTAAGAACTTACGTTTCGCGTTCGTTTTCAACTGCCACGATACTGATTCAGGAAATATTTTCTATACGGACAGGTTATTTTTTGTCTGGAAGTGGTGCACAAAACCATGACTGGCATCAGTTATTGCTCATGCTCAAAGGCTTGCGCTGACAAGAAACGAAATACATACTGATGGGTTATATAATCAATGAATGCATACACCACATCCATTCGGAAGTTTCTGGAATCATTAGTATTTATTACGGTCACGTAATTAATACTATTGACTGGAGACAATTCCGAGTGCATATTTCCGAATGAATGTGGTAAATGCATGAGGTAGGTATACCCAGTAGGTATACCACCGCATCAAGCCAGAAGTATAACATGCCCGTATGACGAATATTTCCTGAACATTAAGCATAACAATCATGGCAGTTGCACGATCACGCAGATAATTCGAATAAATCATGATCGCCAACCAGATTAGCTTTTACAGCCATATGTCCATCAGTTGAGTTGAAAATACAAAGAGTTGAATTAAAGGCAAATAAATGTATTTATATGTAAAAAACACCGACCGGAAAACATCTGCTCACATGTGCATGCACAGGTCTGGTCCACTTACATTGCGCGCGCAGGGGAAGGGAGGCGTCTCGACCGCTGGTATAGGCACGATTAGTGCGTCCCGCAGGCCAGAGGGGGCCTCACTCACAGCACGAACACCACAGTTCACAGATTTCACTTTTTACTGCACAAATGCTGGAACAGCCCTCGTCGCTGCTCCAGGCTGCACGGCGGCCGCGCGACAACTGCTGGTTCGAAACCGCCGCGCCGGGGCCCGCTAACGGCTGGCGGCGACCGCTGATTGGTCCGCCAAGTCTGACGTCATGGGCGCAGCTGACCATGTGTATGCTGACCAGCTGACCAGTACAAGTTAGGCGCCGGTTAAATAACCATGCGGCAACAAGTTTCCAAAACTGGTTAAGAAACAAACGTTGAAACAAATGTAGAGTTGGTCTGGATACTGAGAAGTTGGTGTGCATAGTAACTATTGACTCGTAGTTGTCACCTGACAAGCAATGCACCAGACAACGGCTTGTTTAAAAAGTATCAGTTGGTAAACATACCAAGAGATGATTGGTTATATTACACAAGACTTGTCAATTTGGTTTACAGTGTGTTAGGTAGCCCTAAGCCTAACTTTGGTCCGAAAATGAAATGAAAATGAATTAAACTGGCATTTTGTCTTATCTTTACAAGAAAACACAACATGCGGACGAAATGAATACAAAGTGGCCAAAGTGGCGCAATATGATCAGGCAACCAAGGATTGACTTTTAAGATCCTCTCTCCCCTAATGAAAGGATGTAAGCTGATGACGTTATATTTATTCATATGCACTTTTGGTTGAATTAATCAAAAGAAATGAATTTTCTTGTAGTGAATAACACTCAGTGTTGATTTCATTGGAATTTAATAGCGTGTTGGATGATTTTTATCAATAAAATAATTCACGAGGCAGTAGTTTGCAGTCCTAAACCTTTTTTGCAGTGTTTAATCAGGTGGTTAAAAACTGTGTTATGGCGCATCTCTTTCGAAAACCTTGAGTTCGTTCGCGCGTTTGAGATGGAGGAGGATATTATATCGTTTTTATGCATATTATGTGGTGACTTCTCAGGACAAGTGGGTTAATAACACATATTTTTACATGATTCGTATCTTACTCACGAGCCAGCAGCAAGCCATGGCGGATGGGAAAAAGCAGATGTTGATCTCACTTCCTCAGTTAGGAACATGGCCGAATCTGTAGTTTTTTATATTGTGATTTGTGACTATCTGTTCATTATTTGGTTAGTGAAAATTATTTATTATTTAGAAAAAAAATCCATAGGGCCAGGTCGGTTGAGCAGACAGGCCAGTTCCACTTCGGTTCGAGGGTGGGAGCGACGTGGCTGACCTACCAAGCGACGGTGAAGAAGTTCTTGAAGTGAGACCAAGCGACGTATGGCAGTATCTTGCACCTCATGTGGCTCCAGCAAGGCGGTGCGTCTCCTCACATAGCAAAACAATGTTCAAGTGGATCGAGAACCACTCTGGTGACCGGCTGATATCCCGCGGTGCCAGTCGGAACTGGCCCGTCTGATCACTTGACTTGACCCCTATGGATTTTTTTCCTGTAGCGTCATCTCAAGGGCCAGGTCTACAAAGAAGGTCCAGCAAGCTTCTGTGGCCTGAAGAGAGCGATCATCAAGGCTGTGCGAATCATACCAGAGGACATGTGTCGTCGGGCTATCGCGTCAGCCGCCAGGCGGGCCGATCTGTGCCTGTCTCGCAAAGGTGATTTCCTTGAACATTTGCTGTGAGGTGAGAGACTGAAAACGAGAGAAAGCAGCTGAGCATGATATCATTATGAATTTCCACAAAATGTACTCTGGTATCATTTTCAGTCACCTGCATGCAATATTGCATGTTTTATACGAGTTTGAAATGTTTCTATCCTCTTTGGTCCACCCTGTACTTACCCCCTGTGCTTGAGACGCTGTAAAAAGGCCAATACGGTCAAGGGTTGAGAAGGGACAGTCACTATAAAGTTATTGTTTTCTCATTAAAAAAAATCAATTTTGATATTCTTCCTGTCGGTTGGCATCAGTTTCTGAATTTTCTTAAGTTGAAATCGGAGCTGCGGTGGCGGTGACTTCTGACGACTCCGAATCCGGCTCAGACTCCGGCTCAAACTCAGACTCCCACTCCGGACAGCTGACTGTTGACGCCGAGACTCCGACCGACTCTGAGTCCGCAGCGCCAGGTCTGCGGAGTCGACAGATTTTCAGTGACTCTGACTCCGACTCTAACTCTGGCTTTCAAAATAGACACCCACTCCAATTCCGACTCCACTCAGAACGTTCGACTCCGACTGACCCCGACTCCGACTGACCCCGACTCCGACTTCGCCTTCGCAGCCCTGACTGACAGATCAGTGGTCAGCACCGCGTATCGCGCGCGCGAGTGGCTCAACAACGTACTAAACTAACTACTCACGGTATCGGAGACACCTGACAACCGTGACGTCACCACGCGCTGGGGTGCCGCCCGCGGCTCTCACTTCGGTTCCGAAATCGGACAGTCGAGACGGCGAGCCGCGCCGTGCCGTGCCGTGCCGTGCCGTGCCGTGCTTGTTCCGATGGAAGTGCCGCCGCCCAGCGGAGCCGTACCGGCCCTGTCTGGCCGTCCGCACAGGACGCTGGTTGTGTCGGTGGTCTTTGTGCTGTACCTGGTGATGGGTAGTCTGGTCTTCCATTGTCTGGAGACGTACAGCCGACCAGTGACGGCGACCAGTGAGGGCAGCCGACCAGTGAGCCCTGAGCGGCTCTCGGAGACCGGCCAACACCTTTCTGGTGAGTTGCCGCACCACCACCAGCAAGTCATCAGTTGCATCCCGAAAGACAGAAGACTATATAGTTATGATAAAACAGCCGCACTTGTGCAACTGTACAACCCCATACAGCTCGAAAACAGCATGGCTGACAGGTTAACCCGCGCCGGGCCGGTGCTTCGCGACTTCGGCGCCGGGCCGGGGGGGGGGGAGTGTCTGGAAACCCCCGTCTAACTCGGCTCCTGGGCCACGTAGCGACACGCGGTAAGCGGTATTCGAAAGAGCGTCAAAAATAAGGACGAAAACACTAAGTCATTTTTTGGGTCAGGTCAAAGGTCAGGTCGCCAGAGGCCATCAAAGGTCAGATGTAGTCCATTTCAACAATTTTGGAAACTGCCAATGGCCAACTCGGGAACCAATAGAGCTACAGCGCCGCGGAAAGCGCATTCGATAGCCCTTTTACAGACCTTTCTGAGTAATGTTCTCAGATTTGACCTCATGCTGATTGATCGAGGCTGACCTCTGTTGTGACGTCACAGGTCATCATTCACTCAGGTGACATCCACGTGCCAGATCTATCATATACATCATATCCAGACTCATTTTGGAAACTTAGATTTCATTTTTATGACCGACTTCTCGTCATTATAAATTGGACTGATTTGACCTTGTTTGACACCCCTGTGACGTCACAGGTCGAATATCAAGGTCATCGATATCCTATCTTGTGCATCTCGATGAGCTCTTTCGAATGCCCTTTGATTTTTTTCCGAACCGGCTATTGGTTCCGGAGATACGGAGGGGGCCCTTTGCCCCCCACCCCCCCAACAAGTGGGGAATTTGAACGTAGTAAGAGTAACACAAAATTACGGAAAATCTATAAGTGGCACGACAGTAAGACCAATGAGGGACATTATCGTAGTTAAAAGGGCTATCATATGAACGGTGTTTTTAAGTTTCAGGGAATGAAGATGTTGACGCACACTAAAAAATCAATTAACCTTCCAGGCGGTGGGGGGCATTTTTTGCCCTCCCCCTTTAGTTTTTTTATATATCTCGAGAACCGCTGCGCCGATCGTCACCAAACTTTCAGTACCCTCCCGTGAATAGCTATTGCAGATTTTGACCAAAAATTTTCCCAAAGGCTATGATAGGTTGGACGCTAATGACGTCAGAGTGACGTCATTTCTGTCATTTTCGACCCAAAAAAAAAACGTTTCGCGAGAAGAGCTGCCAGGCCTACAGCTTTAGAGATACAGAAAAATGTTTCCACATACAAGGTGTAGAATTTAGAGGACTACAAAACTGCTGTCTCGGATTTTTGATTTTTTTAATTTTAACCCAAAAAATCAAAAAATAGATTTTTTGAATATAATAGCCGAAAAATCCAAAAAGGCTTTTGAACTTCGAAAAAACCGGAAGATATGTGATAGTCCCTACCGCCTTCTATCTGCATACCAAATTTGACATCGACACCTCTTTTTTTGGCCAAGTTATAGCGGAAAAAACTTCAAATTTATGACGTCAAATTTTGACCTGGTGACCTGACCTTGAAACGTAGGTGGTTCAAACTTGCGCCGATGTGTAAAAATGATTGGGAAATAGTATTGCCCAATGTCGCGGCGATTTGCGCCATGGTGCTGCCGCTATTTATGAAAAAGCTCAGGGTGGGGGGTTTTGGGGGTGGGGGGTGGGGGTGGCTATCGCCCGTCGGTGCGCGGGTTAATAGATTGATAACGGCGTGAGTTATTTGTGAAAAACAATGGGTGGGTGAAATTCGTCCCACCCCTTCCACTGCCCTTATAAAGATAAAATACAACTGCTTGAAATTAGGAGGGTCATATTCACCCCTTCAGCACTGCGTCAGTCTATTCACAAACAAAAGATCATCTCATCACCACTTATGGAGCGTAGATATCCACAAGATTTAGTGACAAAGGAGCAGCACAGAAAATAGGCAGCTGTGCGACTATCATCGGCCGGTCGCTTATCAGCGGGCCGTGCTATCAGCCGGCGCTATCGGTCAAACGCCATCGAATCACAGCTGCTCCGACTGACGACGAGTCCTTGTGGCCCGTTGCCACCGCGTATTTACAAATGGCAACCGAGCTCCGCCGTGGGGTAAGGTGGACAGGGGTTTTCGCACTACGGCTGCGGTTGAACTACCGTCTGTGGTAGAAACTTCAGGATGATGGCGCGTTTCATACGAAATCTGGCGCAATATTTGTTTTGCTTCTGAACTTGTATTGTTATTGCTGTGAACTCTTGAAGTGGGAGTGTTTCAATAACAATTTGTGGATTATTTGAGTTTCTGGATAAAAAAAATAGAATGATATTATGAAACATTGTGTGGAAACTGCAAATATTGATATAATCAATTGCTTAGTTTGGAAATTGATACACATTTTGTAGAGGTTTGTCTAGCAAATGGTGTAACGAACTTCAAGCCTATCATGATCTGAAGCTGTCGTAACAAATGAAAATTGTTTTGATGTTCCATAGTACCTTGTTGGAAAGACTGGAGCATGGCTCAAGATGACGTGTAAAATTCAAGATTTTTGCAAAAGCTTATGACTGAAGAGCAAAAACAGTTCTATACGATGGCTCAATCAAACGTGGCAATGGACGACAAAAGTAGAGTTTCAACATTCCAGCATGTGAGAATAACTTCAGAACTTCATAGTTCTTGTAGTATTGCATTCTTTTTATGTACAGTCCTAGGTTTTGTTAGGGTATTTCAATTTCAATATGTCAGTTGAGATATAGGTGGATTGCGGACAAAATTTAGAATCATTGCATGGTAGATAGGTACTTGGTCGGTTAAAAGGTATGTGATGAATGCCACGAGAAGGTTTTTATGATTTAATATATGGTCATTGTTGTACCTACAAAAATGCAAGCTTGCTAGCACCTAGTTTTTTAATCAAATCGAAAGTATTTGCTATGAATGTAAATATGTACCTGCATAGTATGTTAATAAATTTGTGTGATGTTGACCAGAGAGCTGTTGCTGTATCATCTGGGCATTTATGTTGCTTCTTACATTAGGTGTTAAGCATAGTAATTATGGATGAACTTTGTGCCAATATCTTAAATGCACAGTGTATGTAGCATGTCTACAACCCTCACTGATTTTGCTATAGCTATAGGCATTTGGCACCAGCAAGACCAAGGGCATGGACTTCACAGTTGCGCAACCCTTTGATGATTTTTTCACTTCATAGTAAGCACTTCATAGTTATAATCTTGCTGTTATAAGTTATAATTAATTATTCATCCCAACCCGATACATCAATAGACAATATGCAATCATCAGCAAACATTTTCTGGCTTGATAAGCTGCTCAGCGTGCTCTTCAGTATTGATCTCCTGCAGTATTATAGCTTGTTTTCGGCCAATAAGCTCTTTTAATTTTACTTTTATTGCTGATAAGTGAGCCAGATCAACTTGCGTTTATCAACCAACATTTCCTAACTTCAACTTCAACTTGATCTTGCTCAGGACGATCAGGACCTCTCTTAGCCTCCTCCTGGATACGTGGGATTGTTTTCAGTCAACATGCTTCTTTAATACGATATAAATCAATCACAAGAGATTTAAAACATCCAACAAAACGACGTATACGAGTACGAAAATCACCAGATGAACTCGAAAAAGGCCTTGGAACAGAGAAGTGGTACTCCATTTGTTTGTTTACAACAGTTGTAGTGCTGATGCATTGTTTTAGGACTCTAACGTTCGGCTGATAAAAATTGAAACATTTTTACAAAATCTGTAAGGCAAGTAATATTTCTCTGAAAGAACTAAAATATTCAAAAGCCAAGCACTACGAAATACAGGAATCGGACCGAAAAAGTAACCCAAAAATCCAGCCTAAACACTGGCTCCTAAAACTGCGACAAAATCAGCACTTTTCCCCGCAACTCGTTATCCAGACATAAATATGCCATTTACCTTGGGGTTTCGCCTCGTAACATTGACAGACGTCAGACACTTTGGCCGAACTTTAGCCGGAACACTGAGCAAGCTGCGCAGGCCGATAGGTGCTCGTAGCGTTGAGGTTGGGTAACCTGTGAGCTGAACGCGATGTCGTGAGTTCGAGCCCCACTCCCGGGTATGGTTTTATCTAGACACGAACCAAAACCTTTCCTTCTACTGCAACACAGATAAGAACTATGACATCTTTCTCCAATATCTTTCCCAAACATCCTCTCCAAAAGTCAAAATTATCGCTAATGAATGTTTAGCTAAGCTCCATTTTTTAAGAAAATATTTTTGGTCATTTGTCTGGAGCCATTTCAACTCTTTATTTTTCTGCTCCTTTCCGACCCGATAAAGCCCACCAAAACTGAACGTGCCAAATGAAAAATATCTAACTCAAATAACAGTTTAGAAAGGTCTCATCATGCATCATGAAAAGCATCATGCAACTATCGACTGAATAGTTGCATGCTATGAATACGTCCTAGATTTCAATTACAGGGTGACACAAAAAAAAAACGGTCATCACCAAATTTCGAATAACTTCGTAAGTATTATTCAGATCATCACCAAACTTCGGCCACTTAAAGTCACACCTATGTAGCATACATCCACCAAGTTTCAAGTCTTCACTACGAATACTTTTAGTACAGTGTGTGTTTTACTGACGCTCCACAATGTGCTCCAGGTGAGCGCCACGGCGCTGCAGGGCGTAGGCACACTTGCATCCGGCGGGCAAAGTTGTCGATAACCCGATGGCTGTGCACTTTACAGAGTGCAATGGCCTCTGGAGACAGTGCTCAGGGGGTGTGCTACCCCTGAAACGTTATTCTTATCGGGTTATCGACAACTTTGCCCGCCGGATGCAGGTGTGCCTACGCCCTGCAGCGCCGGGGCGCTCACCTGTAGCACATTGTGGAGCGTCCGTAAAACACACACTGTACTAAAAGTATTCGTAGTGAAGACTTGAAACTTGGTGGATGTCTGCTACATAGGTGTGACCTAAAGTGGCCGAAGTTTGGTGATGATCTGAATAAAACT